TGCAGAGCTGGCTCAGGAGATACCAGCTCCCGACTTTCTGTCGCGTTCACATGCTGTTGCTGGTGTCGGTGGTTCGGTGCTGTGGCGTCTTTCCACACTAAAAGCCCCAGGCAGTAGTGCCAAGGGGATTTTTTTTTTTTTTTTTTTTTGGCTAAAACTCCCGGCTATTGTTGCAAGCTTCATCTCAGGGGACCACAAAACCCTCCACCACTAAATAGGTGTGTGGTTCCACACCTGCAGTGGGTCAGCGGGCGCTGATAAATCTCTATGCAGATGGTATTTGCTATTTTTCACTTTCTAAGAGATGCTGTACATTTGAAACTACAGCGACATAAAATCCTCAATAGAGTCAATGTCTGAGAGAATAATTTAAAGTAATGGAGGCAGTGCGATTCGCAACGACTTGTAAAACAAATCTGCAAAGCCTGACCTTATTCCTGTTAAACACAACTGCCACGTGCATTTCGGTCCTTAGTCTACTTGCTGTCTTTTGCATTTAACCATAGTCCTCACACAGCCTCATTCCTAGGATTCAGCTAAGCTCAGACAGATGTGGTGCATGGCGTGTAATTGTGTATATTGATTTTTATATATATATATGGTACCCTGAAGCTGAGTCAATGACCCTTTTTTATTCCCTTTTTAACACAGGAGCTCGGCACCCTGGGATTTGAATGTACCCTTGAAGAGGTTGATCTTGAAGATATCACAAAGAATCAAATCAACACAATAAAAGCTTGCACATCTGAGGACCCAGGGGTAAAAAAAAAAAATATATATATCGAGTTTCAGCATCATATTTTCATGGAACAGCTGTATAATTGGAACAGCTGTATAATTCACACTTCTACAAAATCACCATGTCTCATTTCTTCTTTAATTTGCAGACTGGAAACTGTCCGGCACTGGAAAAATCTACTTTTGATATGGTAAATCGCAAGTTTCCTGAAACAACCTCTCTCTTTTGCTTGTGTTTAAGGTGTTTAACAGATTCCCCCATTTCCTCCTAATTCTGGCTTTTGCAGAGTAAATGCCTTCAGGGCATCTATCAGGATCTGAATGCCTACAGGGCAGAGCTGAAAAACTTCAACGATCAGACGGTGCTGGCAACTATCGATGAAATGATGAAAGTAAGTATTTCTGTCTCCTTCCTTTCTACCATTTCTGTGTTAAACAAGAGGATTTAATCCAGCACGCTCTGTTCTGTAGTCAGTCAAATCGTGACCTTTCTTTAGGCTGGTAATTTAAAAGATTTTTACTGTTTTTCCTAGAAGGGACTTGGTTTTTATGAATTATGTGTCTCGCTGCATATTTTTGCCTTGCTGGTGTGGTCAACACATCAGGACTCAGATGTCTGGCTCCTTAGCCACCCTCCTTCTTTCACACTGCTCCGCTCTCACGAGGAGATGGGCTACAGAATTTTCTGCCAGTTCCTCAGAGAACTCAAAAATAGAGGAGAAGGATACAGGGGCATCGCTCTACTTCTCTTCCAAAAACTGAAATACGATACACCTGCTACACTGAATATGAAAGAGGATGTGTGAATTTTGATAAATATTATTACTGAGTACAGGGAATAGATATTAAAATTTGTTTGTTTAACAAAAGTTACTTAAAAAAAAAAAAAGTTAATTGCCTTTGTATTGACACAGCATCTCCTGACAGCCTGGAGATTCTAGCCGTGGGTGGATGAGCCCAGTCTAAGGGGTCACCAGACAAAGCCGGCTGTGGGCTTATTATTCAAAGAGCATCTTTATTCCTGGGCAGAAAGAGCCTTTGTACAGGAATGGACATTTTTGTCTCAAGGAAAGTACAGCTGCACCTCCTAAGTCTATTAATTATATCATTAAATATTTCAAATTTTACCCTACGTCTACTAATTCTACCATTAAATATTTCACATTTTATCCTAAGTCTATTAATTGCGACACTAAATATTTCACATTTTTCATTCCTAAGGATACATTCTTATTCCTAAGTCTTGCCATTTCTCACTCGGGGGGGGG